GAGTGGGGAGGGGCTATGGCAGTGTTTGATAATTTCTTGGCCTTGCTCTAACACATACAGAATGCTGCTTAAGCCACCGTCCCACACTACAAAAGTAGCCTGCAGAAAAGGGTATTGTAATTTGGAAGGGCCTCTTACCACTAGTGGCGGGACACAGCTCATTTTGTTCAATTACTCATGTGTGATACAGCACATAACTGGTGTAATTGCTGCCTTCTAAAAATGTTATGGGCATTCATTTAGAACACTGTATTACATTGCTGGTGCCTGTAAAAAAAAACTGTGCGCCAGTATTTTTTCGCCACCCCCACACCTTAGTGCACCCATTCCCTGATTTTCAAGGTCGCCAGCTTAGCTGATCCACATTGGAGTTTGCAAAGCCTGAAAGATGTGGCAAGTGCTACTATTTGAAAGATGTGGCAAATGCTAATAAGGACTTTATCATTGTTTGATCACTGGGGTGGTTCAAAATACTACTTTTACCTAAATAGCAGTGCTCATGTTTACTCTGCACGATTCTGGTGATATTGACTGGTTAGTACATACTTTTTTTTCTAAATGAAAGCCTTCTCTTTTTATACTGCTCCAAATTGATATTTTGTGATAATAATTTGGTTTTTTTTTTCGGAACCTGTTTCAAATTTGCATTTTAGTGCTCAAAAGTAAAATTTGGCTGCTCCGAAAATTACTCTTAATTCTATTTCGGCTGTTGCACCCCTGCAGGTGTGCTTTTATTGTAGAAATTACCGCATAGTGAAAACCTCACAGCAGCGCAATCGCAGCTGTGTATCAGAAACACCAGCCTCCTGAACATTCATGCACATCATCATTATGCACCCAGGGTGCATACCCTTGGGTATTAGTTCACAGGGTAGCATCTGTGACCACAAATTGAGCTGGCTTGGTGAAATGCAAATGGTTATGCATAATATTCATCATCAATATTGGATCAGCTAACTCACTCGTGGGTCGACCCCACTCAGACTTAGATTGGGCCACGAGCCTGGGTGAGTAATACTTTGCGCCCCGCTATGGTGATCTAGTGGCTAAGGTACTCGGCTGCTGACCCACAGGTCGCAGGATCGAATCCCAGCTGTGGCGGCTGCATTTCCGATGGAGGCGGAAATGTTGTAGGCCTGTGTACTCGAATTTGGGTGCTCGTTAAAGAACACCAGGTGGTCGAAATTTCCGGAGCCCTCCACTACGGCGCCTCTCATAATCATCTGGTGGTTTTGGGACCTTAAACCCCACATATCAATCATCAGTAATACTTTGCGAGTCTGAGTCAGTCTGGTAAAGGAACGCTTTAATGAGTCCGAGCGAGCCCAAAGCACAAAATACGTATTTCTTGAGTGAACCAGAGTGACGTACCTCACCTTTTCTGCTGACATATGTGGTACAGTATACTAAAAGGAGTGGTTGAGGTTATTGTCTGTACGTCTCACTAATATTGGCACAACTGAAAAATTTTGAGGCGGACATTTGGGTAAAATGTGACACAATTCGAACATATTTTATGGTTTTGGTTCGGCTTGGCACAATAGTAAGGAATTGTATACAATGGGCACAGGTGTTGTACCCCTGTAAGTAAATATAGAGGGGGCATATGGATGCTTGTGAGTTGAAATATCTGTGAGTTAACATGTGTATTGGCATGAGCTGACATGTAAGGGTGATATTACAGGAGGCAAGTAGATAAGAACATAGCTTGGCCAAAAAGGTTGAGCTCACTCAGACTAACTCACAAAATATATTTTGTGCTTCTGGGCTTTTTGGACTGAGATTCACCAAATGTTCCCCATATCGACTGACTCATCGCCAATATAAAACTCACTCAGGCTTACGGCTTGCTCGGAGTGAGTCGAGTTATCAGTGAGTTTACCGGCTAATGCTGTACCATGAGACCCCACAGTGAAAAAAATAAAAAAAGGACTGTGGTTCTGAAATCTCCTGACCTTGTTCTAATGCGCATAACACTTTTTAAAGCACTTTTTTGCGCAGTACATTTTTGCCTTGTGGAAAAGTGTACAAAGATTTCGATGGGGCTATTAGTATTAGTTCTCACTCAACACAGCAAAACATGCGTCTGCTGTATGAATATTTATGAGTAATAGTATGATAGGTAATGTTTAAAAAAATCGTTCTTAGCCTCGTATGGCTTTTCTGCTATGCTGAAACACAATATACAAAGACATAAGCCTCGTTTTTTATTTTGCTTTTTTTTACCACATGCATTTTTTGCTTTATGAATGCCCTGAAATTGGAGGTCACTAGATTGGCAAGTCAGCCTTAGCATTTGCAGGGCCTGTCAAATAATTTTAAAGGCATGGCAAAGGCTAATGTGGGCTTAGTCATTGTTTGCACTGTTGGGCAGTTCGAAAGACTGCTTTTATTGAAATAGCAGTATTGTAGTACTGTTACTGTATTGCAGAAGTCATGATATGAACAGGAATAAGGGGACGAAAAGAGCTTTTCTGCTGGCAGGAACAGAACCTGCAACTTTAAGATAATGCGCCTATTGCATAACATTTCAAAGCTCTACATGGTTAAAACACATAAAGTGCATGTTGAACTAGAAATATAATTTAGCAAGGTGCTTGTTTGGCTAGTGTATATTCCATTGAACTGTCCCTGAAACTTCTCGTCCCTTGAAGTTTCAGGGACGAGAGACAAGAAAATGCAACACACAAGCGCTCTATGGTGTTATTACTGGTGAATATAGAGGGAAAGTTCAGATGTCTTGTCTCTTAGCAAGACCTGTTGCCAGAAAAGTTGCCATAGGGGCCCAGCCTCCCTCCACCCCAACCCGAAATTCGGATCGAGGGGGGTATTTCACCCAGAATAAATAATGAAAATGGGTGAGACGTTTAACAAGTGCCCTCTACTCATTTAAAAAAAATTAAAGAATAAATTCCTGGGGTATAGACATTCTCTGACCCCTTCCTCTCCATCATTATTGAAAGCAGAGTATGAGTGTTGCCATCCCATTATATGAATCGATCAACTGGTCAGCTTCATTTTGTCTATTTCAACTACAGACAGATAAAAAACAAAAAAAGCTATTTTTTGACTTGATGAGCCCACAGCCCCTATCACATGGGTTCACAATTGCACAGACATGACTGTATACTTTATACCAATTAATAAACTTATCGATAATAATATTGGGTACATAATTTTGAACATCTAGAACTGATATCAATACAGGAGCAAGGTGGGGAATATACCATGAAATACCGAGCAAGTGCCACCCCCGCTTCGTTTTTTCTCGAGCAATTTGAACTATCTGCACATGACAAAGCAATCACCCTTCAACCTTCCCCTACTACCATTTTCACTGTTTCATTGATTGCTTTTGAAACAGTCATTGCGTGTGTACTCTACAGGACACTTCTTTAGAAGCATGGGTGTGCATTTTTTCATTCATAGTGGCTATTTGTCCTCCATATCGAGTATTCATCCCGAATGAGCAAGGGCCTCTTTTCCCGATCTTGTTGAATTATCTTTCATTGTAAAGGGGGGTGCTTGTTTTGGATTTTACAGTGATCACAGTGCACAAAACATTATTAAATTAGTCGCTCACATATTGAAATTCATTGCAGACTTACTGCTTTAGGTACTGTACTTCTCATAAGCTGACCCCTCCTTTCGTGGACAAAATTCTGTATCTGTCTTTGAGTGTTGTCAGTGTGAAGAAAACCAGGCTATGAATTTGATCAACTGGTGATATCGGCGTCACCTGTTATGTGTTAATTACTGCTCTTACTTTCTTAAAAGTGCTGTGCAAATTTTCATGCTGCCAATTGCTGCCATGGAAGCAGCAATTTGAAAATGGCAGCATGATGCCCCAGAATGGCACAGAAATGGGCCACAAACAGTAATAAAAGTTGCTTCATTCGGCAATAAACTTGGAGGGCCTTAAAAATCTGGTTTCTGCAGTGCCTGGTTTTTTTCCTGTTATGATTGAAGCTCACTAATCAGAGTATACAATGGAACTGTGTTATGTAAATGGAAAATATCACGGAATATTTATCAGAACTTTTCTTTCTGCGGTGAGGACGAAGTTGTGCTTCAAAAACATGCTGGAAACCGAAACTATTCTACTCCTGCCCGAAAGTGCACCAAGTCAGATTTACTGAGCCATTCTGATAATGCCAATGACAAGTGCGCCAAAATTGCACTTGGGAGCGTTTCCCCCAGAGAACCTCTTGCAGGCCAATTTTCGTACAGCACGCACGGCATACACGAATGAACCTCCAAATTGGCGTGACGGTTGTGTGGCCATTTAGTGATCAAGGTTCAGTGCATACCCCCTATATGGCCGCTTATAGGAACAGAAGCACTTTTACAGTCTGCTAATGGCAATGGGACCAACAGCCATTTTTCATGGTGCCTACATTTTTTTAACGTGAAGGAAATCTTACCCGTCCGTGAATCTGATCCTGGCATGATAAAGTGTAAAAATGCTGTAAACCACGTGTAATCTGAGTTTTTCTATCTGCAGTGAATATGAAGTCGTATGCTCACATGCTTCAAACAGTGAGCACGCAGGTGGTTTGTGTCAGAGCACGATGGATTACCGCGCATGTACCACAGCTCGGCTTGGCTCACTGATGACCGCAAGCGCAGTGTTGTTTTTTACGGTTCTACTCTTTTCACATCATGAGCAGCACAAGGTTTAGTGGTGCTGGATTATAGTATCACTTACTCTAATTTTACTGCTAGTACAGTAAAAGCATAATAGTTCTTGCCTGTAGGTTCTTTGCCCCTCCCCAATGCTAGGAGGTTTTCGGCGGTAGACAGAATGCCTGGGCCCTATACAGATTCGCTGCAAAAGGAAAACATAGTTTCTTAAATATTGTAGTTCACCGTCGAACGCACTTTCTGACTCTTTCATGGAAGCAGCTCTTCATATCTGGGCAACTCAGTATTATCGCTAACGTTATTAAGTGTACAAGCCTCGGGAGAATGCTCTTTTTCCAGCACAGAGAGAGAGAAAGAGAGAAAGAGAGAAGGAGGTATCGGAAAAGGTCGACTTTGTAGGGCTAGCTAAGAGACGTCATGTTACACCGAGCAATATAATCGATCGTGAAGTTAAAGAACCATGTTTTTCTCCTTGAAGTCATCGTAGGAAAATGCATTTAGGACAGTGTGAGTCTTTAGCATTGATGCATTGTTGTATGTCGCAATGTTTGCTGCCATGTTGACTGATAACCACATTGATGCATTTAGAACATTACTTCATAAAGTACAATTTCATTGAAGCAGCATTCTGTTTACTTGCAACAAAAGAATTGCTGAACAAGTCATGCCAGAATGCTCAACTGCGTGATGCCCTTATTTTTGCATCATCGAGTGAACTACTAAGTGTTCCTAAGATGACTAACTCTATATTATGTTTAATGAATGAAAATAATTCTAACCCTTTCACAGGAGCTTCAAAATAATTTTTCCTGTTCTTGAATACGAATGAACTATAGCTTCTCCACTGTACTTCATGATGTGAGTTTACCTGTTCCAGAGTGCTCCCAGATGCAAAATTACTTGCTTCAAAGTGCTCCATGCGGGAAATTTTCCTGCTACAAAAATTGCTCCGAAATCAGAAGACCTTGGTAGCATCAGTGAAACTGGCATGTGAGTGATCGATGGCGATCATGTGCCAGTGTTTGTGGAATATGGTAGCATACATCAATCAGCAGTGGTGCTAATTTAGTGCAAGCACCCATTCACACAAAAATGAAATGGCCTTTGGTGTTTTCTAGACAGAACACAGAACTATGCAAACTCGCTCATAAACCTACCTATTGAAGCACTCAAGTGCATTTCTATATAATGAGAAACACCACAGTTTGCAACATGTGTGCTGTTCCACTCGTTGCCATAACAGCAACTTTGCGTTTCGTAATATATTTACACCTCTTGATGTTTATAAAATGAAGTACAGATGCTTCATAGCTTAAAGATTGCAGCTTTTAAGAAATATGGTGTACTAAATGACAAGATTACCTCACTTAGTGATGTCACTTCTCTATCATATACTACTTAGCCCTCTGAGCATAAGCCATGAAGTGCTTTTTTTTTATATCTTTGGGAACATAAAGATATAGTTTCTACTTAATCAAAAGCAACATAATTAAAATATTCAGAAAAATTCACTGTCCTTCCATTTTTGCTAGAATCTTGTGACACGTGATGAATGATTGTTGGTCCCTTTAGTATTGTATTGTCTCAAGGTATCCTTGAACCTTGAACAATTCGCCTCTGAGTACTGCTCAGCAAGTTTATTGGTACCCATAACGATATGGCACAATGGGGCAGACAATTAGGCATAAACTGGAAACACATGTGTGTACAGTGTAGTTACACTGTACACACATGTGTTTACACTGTAAACACATGTGTGTACAGTGTATTACTTATTACAGTGTACAGTGTATTAATCATTACGTTTTTTAGTGTGTTGTCACGAAGCGAAAAGTTGAAGCAAAGCACGAATTTTTTATGTATTTATTTACTGGTACCCTCTAAACACAGGAAAATGACAGAGTGAATTACTCATGTAAGTAATTTTTTTTTACTGTCACTTGGTTAAATTTTTCTTTGCTTACTGAGTGTGCAGAAATATCATACACGCTTTTTCTTCCTTTAGACATAAGAGTAAACATTCCTGCTTTTGTATTTTATCTGTAGATTTTGTTTCTATGGTGCTCTTTAGCTTTTAAGAATAGCCATACTAAGGTATGTTGAAATTAGTAATGTTGATATTGCTTACGATGCATTAGTTAGATGCATTTACAGTGTTTTTTTGTAATATGGATTCGCCACCTTTCTTAATTTCTTCTACTATGTTAAGCAGCGAGTATATTACCTAAGCCAAGCATTTTTTCCTCCATAGTAAACTTGAGTACAGTACTGCTCATGCTGGGCAAGTGTTATAGTATTTCTTTAGACTGTTTTTCTGCAGCTTAGACCGACTCTCTTGTTGTTGTGTTTCCAGGGGCAAGTGGCTGTGATAATTAGCTGTGCTGCAGCTTGAAGCTTTCAAAAGGAACTGCATTAAAGACTTTTGTTCAGCATTATTTTGTTCCCATAACTTCAGTTACATTGCCTCAACATTCGAAGACTGACTGAATTTATGTTTAATAAATGTGTTTGAAAACAATATTCTATACGCTGGAATATATCTTGTAGATCTTACTGATTCTGCATAAGCATGCCGGTTGAACAGCAGCTTGCATCTGATGATAATAACAAGATGTTTGGGACTCCCATGCCAGACATTGCTAAAATTTTGTGAATGAGAACTTTTTCTCGTGCACTTCTCATTCTTCCTGCATGGAGTTGGTCTACTAGATATAGACAAGCAGACTTACTGCAGTCTTCCTCATTGCTGCTGTGCTGTACATTATAGAAAGCATCAAAGATGTGATGTTACTAATAGCGTTTGTCATATAATACAATCACTACAGTAATCAGTGGGAATGGATCCTCACACCATTGATGCTATCTGTAATGTATTACATGGGCAGTGAGCAAAACTACAGTGTGGCTGCAGGTCTAACACACCAACAACATGCAGAGAGCCTGCAAAGTGCACAGAAAATATTTTCATTTACTAAACGACAATGTCTATGTATGACTATTACATGTCCACAGTGTCCTTGTACACCGTACGTACAACCTAACATGGCAGAGCTTTTTATATTTGCAGGTACATATAACATTGACAATTTGGTTTTCTATGGACATCTAAGAGACGTTACTAATTTCCACGAAGATAAATCTGG